GAAGGTAGGAGCGTCACTGTTGTTGTCAGGTGTTTGACACGGAGGGGCAAAGGGTTTATGACCACTACTGCGCTAATTTTTTTGTCACGCAGTATGCCAAGTGATTGGTCTCTTTTGAAACTAAATGAATCATAGTTCACACTTGTATGGACGAAATAAATTGTTTTTGCTGCAACCGAGAACAACTTGTGGATTCAATACAGAATAAAGCGTACGGTAAATCAAACTAAAGTCAGGCGCATCAGATCACTCCAGGGTTCAACATCTCAGTGGCTGAGTAAAAGGCTAGCTTCTACAGTAACTCTTCTTATGAGTGTTATTCTGTTTGGCCAGATCAACACCTTGAGCTCTGAGTCACGTTCCTCGGGCCGTTCCTGAGCAGTTTGTATGGTGTGACATGGTGTTGCCATAAGGAGGAGGGTGCTTGGTCTGCAACAGAGTTTGACCTGGTGGAGCGCATCAAGTGGACCCAAATTAATTTTGTGACTGATCAGTGTGTATTCAGTCAGGCATGAATATATATATAGAGCAACAATATTATTATTATGATTATGTTTAGTGTGTATCAACTGTAAAATGTGTACTAAGAAAAATAAGAAAAAGAACCCACGAGACTCTTTCGTTTTATTTATCTTTTGTAGCTGCCATCTCAACAGTGTGACCATCCGTCTGAATAATTTTATTCATCTATGAATTATTTTACTGATTTATCAGATTAAAATGGCTCATGTTAGTTTCTTTTTTCCCCAGCATCTCCAGACAAAAAATCTGACAAAATAAGCAATCAGAGACAACAGATGCTTCACCACGCAGCGTTTATCCTTATTTTCTGACATTTAACTGAACAGTTTGTTTAAAGATCGCTCATAATTTAAGTGATAATGAAAATAATCATTTGTTTTGGTCCTGCAGTACGTGACATCTTTTCCTTCCTGTCAGTGTCTTCAGATCTTTCTTAAAGCCGTTTAAAGGACAACAATGACGTTATTCTCAGGCTGTAGATCAGAGTCCAGCATCAGGGCTGGAACCTGTGGGCACCTGAAAGTGATTTACAGGTGGTGTTTTGTCTTAATTTTATTTCCAAAATCCCAAATTTTGGGTGAAAGAAAAAGTCCATGCAGGTCGGACCGCAGGTGTTGGATGATAAATATATTCAGATAAAATGAGAATAATAATAATTTAATTTATGTTTTTATGCTTTAACCTTTTGAAGCCTGAGCAACTTGGATTGGTTTCTTTCAAAAACAGGGAAAGGTGATGAGCACTGAAAGAAGAAATTACAAAAAAATTAGCAAGAAATTAGTAACACAAACAAGAAAGAAAATTAAAAACAAGAAAATTTGTTTAAAAAAAAGAAGTTAGAAACAAACAAACAAACAAGGAAATGACTGTTCTGTAACATAATTTCAAATATATAATAATGCTAATTATAAATATTCTTTTTATTCCTTTTATATAGCTTTTTAAAAATAATTTTCTAAATAAATGGCACCAGTGTGCTCAGAGTTCAAAGGTTTTAATACTTGTGAAAGGCTTCTGAAAGCAGCACAAGAGAAGTGATGTTGCTCCAGGTTTCACCTGCCTATGTCATCTCTGGGTTCATCCCAATACCTGAGCTCACATCCACCTTTTCTTCCACTTGCATCTCTTCCTTGCATCTTAGCTCCGCCCTCGTAAGACACAGGGAGAGATGTGAGGGAAGAGGACACGAGGAAATGAGGAGATATATCTTGTAGAGAAGTGAGACACCTGGATCAGCTGTCAGTCGGCTGTATAAACAGCTGTAGAGACTTTTGATGGAGTTTGTATTGCCCATGCATTATGTAATAAACATAATCACAGAATGCGTTGATATGATTAACTGATTATTTGCATCTGTCTTCATTGATATCCTGATTGTAAATTAATTGTTTAATAACTCAGAATATGATCATTGTGTCTTTTCAACACTGGGAATTATTTCTGAGGCTGGCAACAATTAAATCGTAGGCAACTGGACTTTGATTTTGTCTAGAAGACGTTTCGCCTCTTATCCAAGCGGCTTCATCAGTTCTCAACGCATCAGTCTGACTAGTCCTCACTAGTCTGACTCACTAACAGTGGAGTAAGACTCAGGTTTTTAACCTCTGTGGAGGTGTACACCCACCACCCTCATAAGACAATACTTCGTTAGTGGAGTTTCACTGGACCATTGTTTGGGTCAGGTGAGTCACACTAGTGAACGACGGTCGTTAGGAGTGGGTGGGGCCACTGGTGAGCAACAGTCGTTAGGCATGATGTGTGGTTACCAGTGAACGACTGTCGTTGTGTTTCTTTGAGCCACTTGAGGTTAGTTTCGGGCAGTCTTTGTTGTTCAATCTCTTAGGTACAGCAGCAAGGGCCGCATTGTAAATGGGGGATAGGTGGTGTCTCAGGCCACCTCCCCTGTTTAGAGACGGTTTCTCTATTTTGACGTAGATGGATTCTTTCACCCCTCTTTCGAACCATCTGTCCTCTCTGTCCAAGATTTTCACATTGCTGTCCTCAAAGGAGTGAGCCTTCTCCTTTAGATGTAAATAAACAGCAGAAACTGGACCTGAGGAGTTTGCCCTTCTGTGTTGAGCCATGCGCTTGTTTAATGGTTGTTTGGTTTCACCAGTGTATGAGTCCTTGCATTCCTCACTGCATTGGACAGCATATACCAAGTTGCTTTTTTGAGTGTGTGGTACCCTGTCTTTGGGGTGTACCAGTTGTTGCCTGAGTGTGTTACTTGGTTTGAAACACACAGGAATTTGGTGTTGGTTGAAAAAGCGCATGGCTCAACACAGAAGGGCAAACTCCTCAGGTCCAGTTTCTGCTGTTTATTTACATCTAAAGGAGAAGGCTCACTCCTTTGAGGACAGCAATGTGAAAATCTTGGACAGAGAGGACAGATGGTTTGAAAGAGGGGTGAAAGAATCCATCTACGTCAAAATAGAGAAACCGTCTCTAAACAGGGGAGGTGGCCTGAGACACCACCTATCCCCCATTTACAATGCGGCCCTTGCTGCTGTACCTAAGAGATCGAACAACAAAGACTGCCCGAAACTAACCTCAAGTGGCTCAAAGAAACACAACGACAGTCGTTCACTGGTAACCACACATCATGCCTAACGACTGTCGCTCACCAGTGGCCCCACCCACTCCTAACGACCGTCGTTCACTAGTGTGACTCACCTGACCCAAACAATGGTCCAGTGAAACTCCACTAACGAAGTATTGTCTTATGAGGGTGGTGGGTGTACACCTCCACTCCACTGTTTGTCAGACTAGTGAGGACTAGTCAGACTGATGCGTTGAGAACTGATGAAGCCGCTTGGATAAGAGGCGAAACGTCTTCTAGACAAAATCAAAGTCCAGTTGCCTACGATTTAATTGTTGCCAGAATGGAATTGACCTGGATAAATGAGAAAATCCACAGACTTATTTCTGAGGCTCAATCTTTCAGGCAAGATTAAAAGTCTGTGACTCATCAACCCGACGCTCAGGACTGATCAGCCTCATGTGACTGAGTGGAAACGACAGTCACTGATGTAAATGTGTTTCTGCTGACAGACAGACTCTCTGACTTTAATTGTATCCATGATAAAAGGTGATGAGGGAAATGTGAAATGATCGTAGAAGAAAAATCTTTACAATAAATAAAGAAAGTTGTTTTTGGTACTTTTGTTATTCAGATTTATAACTTGATGGCGACTCAGAAAACAAAGTATAAACCTTCAGAGTGACGCCTCTCAGTTTAATCTCTGATCTGTCTGCACTCTGGAATAAAACTCCACTGATGAGTGTGATGTGTCCGATCAGTCCGATCAGCTGCAGCCTCCAATCAATAACTGATATTCAATAGAAGAAGAAGAAGATATACTTTTTTAATTCCTGAGGGGAAATACAATTGTTTTCACTGCCTTAGAGCAGCTGCCTTGGACAGGTGCCCTGACCAGTTGTGGGTTCACTTCCTTGCTCAAGGGTGCCTCAGTGGTGCCCAGGAGGTGAACTGGCTCCTCTCCAGTTACCAGTCCAAGCTCCATACTTGGTCCATACGGGACTTGAACCAGCAACCATCTGGATCCCAAGCTAAGTCCTTGAGCTGCTGCCATCCCCAATAAGAAGACATGTGGATCAGTAAGAGACTCCATGAAGGCTGCCCTTGTGTATCCTTGCTTATTACTCCTCAGACATCCCTCCTCGATCCTCGACTCTTCCAAGTGCATTTAAGGAATTGGGACGTATTTCAAGATGGCAGGTCTTGAGCGATTTGCAGGTCAGGTGATCAAAGATGGAGGAGGGATATTGGGATGAACCCTCTGTCCTCTCTTCCACCTGGAATAGAAAAGCTGCTTCAATCAGGTGTATTTCTAACAGGCACATTACCTGTGGAGATATGCTGCAGTAAATATTTATTTAAATCTAACCTCCTGAATTACCTTTGTCTTTAAATATTACCTTAGTTTCACATGTATGAAATGCTCCAAAATGATCAGTTCTTGAAAATCAGACCTGTGCAGGACTCTGCTGTGGATACACACACACACACACACACACACACACCGTTTTTGTCAGCAGATAAATTCACAGCTGTGTTTTTTCCTGGGGTTTGTTGACAATAAGAAAAATACTGAATATCAGTGACTGCACGTTTTAACAGGGAGACAAGTACAGAGGAAATGTCTCTTTGTGTCTCTGATCTGTCACATCTGTCCTCTCTGCTGACTCAATGTCTGAGTAGGTGCTTTAAAATCTCTCTGCTAATGTTCCCTCATCCTGCTCGTCTTTGCATCATTCTCTCTTTTTCCATTTCGAGTTCAAGTGACACATCCGAAACTTTGAGAGGGAAGTCAGTTTGACTTCACTTAAAATCTGGGTATCTGAGAACAAAGCCTGCCGCCTTACCATAGACTAACACTGTGTGTGTGTGTGTGTGTGTGTGTGTGTGTGTGTGTGTGTGTGTGTGTGTGTGTGTGTGTGTGTGCACTTCCCTGCAGGTGTCCACTGTGACAGTGTGTGTGAGGAGGGACGCTGGGGACCAAACTGCTCCTACAGCTGCACCTGTGAGAACGGAGGCTCCTGCTCCCCAGAGGACGGCACCTGTGTGTGTGCTCCAGGATACCGCGGCACCAACTGCAGACGAAGTACAGAAACATTTCACACACTCCACTCACATACTTTACTGTTCTGTCACTGCCGTAGCTGCAGTGCAGTGGAGGAAGGACTCACGCTAAAACTTATCAAAATCTATGATTGAAAATCAAAGTTGATCTTGAAGTCGTATACACGTAACCAGCAGAAACTGTATGAAAGAGTATTTTGAAAAGACACAATGGATGTAGCGAGCGTAAATTGACACGCCGTCCCTGAACATCTAAAACTGATGTAGGAGGGTACCTAGCGCATCATATTTTTGTAGCATACACGACACGCCCCAACAAACCACGCCCACCACTAGTACAAGACAAACCCACCACCAGGACAACTATCTGAATCACCTCTCTTTTAACGTAGAACTTCGTAGCTAGCTAATTGCTAACTTAGCGTTGGCATAAGTTACAAGATGTTGCTACCTTCACCCTAACCTTAACTAGAGTTGTAACAGTATGAGAATTTTCACGGTACAGTAACTGTTGCAGAAAATATTGCGGTTTCCTGGTATCGTGGTATTGCAGAATTTATATTATTGAGTCACAAAGGAAGGAATGAAAACAGAAGGGTAATTTTTGGTTGAACAAAAGTTTTATTACTATAATTAAAAACTTGTAACCATTTTGTTAATGGAAGTTTGTGTAAAAACTCTCCCATTTGAAATTAACTAAAATTAAGGGGAGACTCTCTGTCCAGTTGCTTTTTCTTTTTTCAGTATTGTAGATAAGCAAATGTACACGGTATGATTGTATCAAGGTATACATTAAAACCGGTATATCGCTGCATCCCTAACCCTAGCTAGCTTATCACTAATGCTGTGTCTCAAATCTTGTACTTCTGTACTTACACTTAATATTGTGAGTGCATAAGTGCGTTCACACTGAGAAGTATGGAAAAATGTAGTGCACTATGAGTACCTGGATGGTGCACTCAAAATGGTCAAGAAGGTGAGTGTGGAACTATGGACACTTCTCGCCCTCAATGGTCGCCATCTTGGCTACATAGCAGAAGGGGAGGGGCCACTACGCCAATAAGCACATAGTGCACATAGTATACTACATAGAAGTGTACTAACGGAAGTATGTGATTTGAGACACACCATAAGTAAGCATTAGCATAAGTAACCAGATGTAGCCTTCCCAATACCTTCACCCAAACCTTAAAGGGAAATTTCGGTTTATTTCAACCTGTCTCCTATCGTCCTAAATTTGTTTCAAGTGACTAGTGACATAAAAATAATAGTTAGCATGTTAGCCGTTAGCCTAGATACAGCCGGGGCGCATAGTAGCGTCAGACCTGTTAAAACGTAAGTGAACGGGCAACCTTCAAGTGCAAAGTTAGTCCACTAAACAAGCTTTTTTCCCACAAAGACCGCCTCATATCGTTAGGATAAATGTCAGAGAACATATAGAAAACGACATGTAAACGTGTTGTCTTACCTTACCGGTGTGCTGCCATGTTTGTTTACCATCTAGCTCTGCTTTCCAAAGCGTGGCCGAAATATCGCGAGAACAAGCAGCAACAGCTGGAAGGCAGAACCGGACAGTAGCCTGAAAAGTTCATTCATTTATTTTATGAAAGATTTATAGAATAATGGCTGACTTTTTGCCAGACTTTGACTTTGTGGAGGAGGAATTTGATTTTGCAGAGTTTGATGGCCGCCCTTATTTATTTGAGCCAGAATACACTGATGAAGAGCTTCGTGAAATTGAAGAACGGAGGAGGAGAGAGAGAGAGAGAGGCACAACAGGTAGAGGACGAGAGAGGAGGAATGGCTGCTGCAAGGCTGCGTAGCTCTGGAGATTGGTGGTGTACCTGTGAATGCTGTGCCCCAGTGCCCACAGAAGAGGAATGCCTCTGTTGCAAGGAATGGGACCGGTTGCAGCCTTATTTTCAAGGTCTGGATGTGACCGAGGACGAGACACCTCCACCTGGAGTAGTATGCAGCTGGGCTTTATCTAGAGCTCGCCAGATATATTTCGGCCGCGCTTTGGAAAGCAGAGCTAGATGGTAAACAAACATGGCAGCACACCGGTAAGGTAAGACAACACGTTTACATGTCGTTTTCTATATGTTCTCTGACATTTATCCTAACGATATGAGGAGGTCTTTGTGGAAAAAAAGCTTGTTTAGTGGACTAACTTTGCACTTGAAGGTTGCCCGTTCACTTACGTTTTAACAGGTCTGACGCTACTATGCGCCCCGGCTGTATCTAGGCTAACGGCTAACATGCTAACTATTATTTTTATGTCACTAGTCACTTGAAACAAATTTAGGACGATAGGAGACAGGTTGAAATAAACCGAAATTTCCCTTTAACCACCTCTCTTTTAATGTAATACTAGCTAATTGCTAACTTATCCTTATCCTAATTTTAACCACCTCTCTTTTACATAATACTTTATAGCTGGCTTATCACTAAGTTAGCATTGTCATAAGTAACAAGATGTAACTTTGCTACCTTCACCCTAACCTTAAACACCTCTCTTAATGTATAACTAGCTAACTGCTAACTTAACAGTTTCGTCGGGATTTCCGCCTCTGGGCTGAGGGGTGAAGGGGGCTGATCATGGACTGACGTGTAGGTATGGTTCGCGAGTCATGTAGCTTGATGGCGGGTCATGTAGCTGCTTCAGCTGCTGTTTAGCTACTCGGGTACCTGGGAACCTGTTGGGCTCTAAAATGTTACAGAGAAAATGTTGAATGCTCCTGATCTTGAACATAAAGTACCTCACAGTTGTAGTAGCTAGCGAACTTGTTAGCTGCGTTTGATTTAGAAAATAATTTTCATGGACGGTTGAGGAGAAATTCTGTTTCCAGATGAGCTATTGTTTTGTTTTTTCACTGTCCAGTGAGTCACGTGTTCGTCCAGTCAGACATAAGAAGGGTTCATTTTAAAATCAGATTAATGCGTAAACTGTAAATCATCTGTTGAACTAAACTGTGAGGCCACCTGTTGGTGGTTCCTTCCTGCTGATCGAACACACACCAGCTCCTCTTTGTCTCCTCTCTGCATCACAGTGATAAATTTAAGGGCTCTCGGTTCACAGTTTGGGCAATTATCTTAATTAGTAAAATCCTGTAGTGTGAGCGAGGCGGTGGTGCGGCCTGCACCAGCTCGTCTCGCCACTTAGAGGAACATCAATTAAAGCAAATTAAAGGCCTCAGGAAGACGTACGAGGGAGGAAGTGTGGTGGAGGGAAAACAAAGAAAAGCTAATACTGCCGACAGGTCGACCCACAGAGGAGACGACGGGCAGGAAACACGTTCATACACACACATAGATATATATAGGCTGGACCACGTTAAGCCTTCATATACGTAGCTAAATTGGGACTAAGTGGACCATGAAATCCATTATTAAAATGATCAGAGAACTAATCAGAGAACTAATCACAAGTTCCCTTTAGACTCTGAAATTGACTTCTCTCTGTCTCTCACACACACACACACACACACACACACACATCCCTCTAACACTGCTGTGTGTGTGTGTGTGTGTGTGTGTGTGTGCGTGTGTGTTCTCTGCAGCATGCTCTCCTGGTTTCTTCGGTCAGCGCTGCAGCCAGTCGTGTCCTCAGTGTGTCCACAGTGACGGGGCGTGTCACCATGTCACCGGTCACTGTGAATGTCTCTCTGGATTCTTCGGCTCGCTCTGTAATCAAGGTCAGTTTCCTCTGTCCTTCGTCATGAAACAGTCCAGCTGCTCTTCCTCTGTCTGTCTGTCTGCTTTACAGCTGCAGTAACACCTTATCACCAACATTAATAAAGGAACATTTGTAGTTAATTAAAGGCTCAGTGTGTCAGATTTAGTGGCAGCTACAGTGAGGACTGCATATTGTAACCAGCTGAAACTCTAACTCCTGGTTAGAATTCCTTCAGTGTTCATTTTTCAGGAGGTTTTTACCAGGAGCTGAATTATTCACAGAGGTCTGTTCCTCTCCAAAACTAGCCAGTGGCCTCATTTGTAACCAAGTGCTTGAAATGTGCATACGCCACTTTAAAAGCCTATAAGTATCTAACCTGTCCACAGAGGTCTCTTTTTCTGCAAAACAAATGAACCATGATGGTGATTTAAACCAGTAAAAACATTTAATAAAGCAGTGTCATGTTTGGCATGTTGGAGACGTGCGGCTCGCCCACAACATGCCTGTGTGTGCTCACCTTTTTCTGATCCAGACATTTAGGCAGTTTTCACTGAGAGCTGAATTATCCACAGACGTCTCATCCTCTCCAAAACAAACAGACCATCTGATTGAACCTGGTAAAAATACAGAGTAACGCAGTTCCACATTACCAATCCATGTATTTCTGACACAGTTTGGCATGTTACTGCAGGCAGGGAGTCCAGCACAAGCATCGGATCCAGACGTTCAACAGTTTTCACTGAAAGCACAGAGGTGTGTGTGAGGTCTCTTCCTCTCCAAATAAAACAGACAGGTGAAGCACGCACTGAATAAATCCGTTTCAAGTTACAAATCAGTGTAACTCTGGTGCTGCACATTGCAGTTGGGCTTCTTAGTACAGTGGCCAACGTGGACACGAGGACGAGAAAACACCACTAGCTATGTTTCCATCCAGAAGTGATTCGAATCATTGGGAAATGCGCATTAAAAGAAATACGAATCCTGTGTGTTTCCATTAAATGTACGGACTTTGGTGAAAACTTTGAACTCGCACGAGTTTTCCGCAGAACCGGAAACAAAACAAGTGTCGCATTCTTCTTCTACGTTTTCTGGCGGTTGGCAACCAGCTTGTAAATGCATTACAGCCTTCCCGACCCGGAGTGTGGATATCACCATGGAGAGAGGTGCGCTACGTCAGACTTAATTCGAACATAACTGTTTCCATCCCCCGTTTTGCAAATCAACATTTTTTCGAATCAACAAAAACCCGGCTAAAGTGAGCGTATTTTAGTTTGTGCGAATCAGGAGGTTTTAATTTGAAATTTGGCGTTTCCATCATAATTTTCCGATGCAATACTTCTAGATGCGCATCTACACAGGCTGATGGAAACATGGCTACTGTCTCTATCTAGAGTCCGTGTGCAACAATAAACTGAATAGCATACATTTTAGCATTACTAATAATTTGCAAGAAGGTTCCTAGTTTGAACCCCAGGGTGTGGGAGCCCTTCTGTGGGGAGTTTGCATGTTGTCCCTGTTTGAGCGTGGATTTCCTCCAGGTGCTCCAGCTTCCTCCCACAGTCCAAAGACAGTCCCAGGTGTGAATGTGAGTGTGAATGGTTGTCTAGCAACACGTCAACAGGTACACGTTGGACAGAACTGTGCGTACAACTGATTTAATGAGATGAAAAGTGCTAAAAACAGTAAATCACTGCAGCTGTAATACTTAAGTAAAACCTTAGATTTTTAGGTCGGGGTCGGTGAGGTTCCTCCAACTTTCCGAGTTGGAAATCTGACTTCAGGGGGCGTTCCGGTTGAAATTTCCAACAGGGAACTCAGAAATTCCAACTTCCTAGTGCCAGTCGAACACACCATTAGATGCCCACGTCAGATTCCCTCAATCAGTTTGTAATGTAGCATTTGAAATTAATTTTTGATCTCAAGCCCAAAAAATGCAACTCCACAGGGTTTTAAAAAGCCCCCTCGTAAAAAAAATAATTTTACATTACATCACACAAACCCTCTGCGTGAACACAGAAAGTATAATTTGGGCTTGGTCGTCTAAAGGCTTCTATACACACGGTGTGGTTTATAAAATGTGGTGATATCTCTGTCCAGAGCTGAGGTCCTACATCACACTCTGAGACACGTCCACCGACTGCCACTTTAGAGCTGCGGCCACTAAACACAGCCTGCCTGAAACATCTCAAAATGTCTCTCTCTGTGTGACACAGATTGTGACCAATATATTTTTAGACCCGTCAGTGTGACATGCAGCAGACCTGCTCCACACAGACACCAACGTCATTTTGTTTTTGAGTCGATCAATTGGACAAACTCTCAGAGAGTTGGTGCATGATTCATCTTCTACATCTCATTTGATGCTGTTTTGTAATCACCTTCTCACACGTCTCCGAGCCGCTCGCAACCTTCAGCTGCTCCGTTTATTTAGAAACAGGACAGAAGACATTGATTCACCCGCTGCACTCGGCCTTTTGACATCTCCATTCACACAACCTTTTTTTTGTGAAACCCTGACATCTCTAATTGACTTTAGGTGAGAATTGAGGTGCAGAAAGCGCAGCTCTTGAATGTCTACATTTCATTAGAACTGTAGGTAATGAAAGAGAAAGAAATCTAAACCTTGAGCTCGTTCTGTGTGTCCTTTTAACAACTTCTCCAACCTCTTCATTTTATCTGAATCATCTTTTTGTGGGTTCCTCCTGTACATCATTACTTCAGTATGGTTTAACTCCTCTGCAGGTTAAACAGGTGTTAATTCTCCTATGAAGGCAGCTGGTCCAAGGTCCGTTGCCAAGTCGAATTTTAAATAGAGACAGTGGAGGAGTGTGCTGTGAAATATTCATCATCATTAAACATGAAGACGGCCTTAGTTATGCCCTGTCCTACATTAGCCATTCCGCTGGCCGCTGCATCTTTGAGCAGGTCCATAGATAACCCAGCGAGTCTTGATAAATCAGACAACCGGCACCGGGGCTTTTAGTCCCGCTCTATCCCCATCCTCCCGACGTGTGATACCCTAATGATGTTATTGACTGGTAAACTCTCAAAGGCTCTGCTGCATCTCTAAAGAAAACAGCTAACTGTGTGTGTGAGATTTAACTGAGACAAAATGGCTTTTCACCGCTTTAATGAAGAAATCACATCTTTTTCAAGTGGAAACTGTCCAAGATGTGAAAGTCACAGAACAGAAATGTGCTGTTAGGAGAGCTGCAGAGTGCTCTGTGTTAGCCACCGTGCATTATCTGTAATACCTCTACAAAACAAAGATATCTTCATTTAGAAGCAAACATACAAACATCTGCTTTGGTGTCAAGACGGTTTCACTGTGCCTCGGTATCCTGGTGCAAAAACTAGGGCTGTCAAACAATTTAAAAAAAAAAATAGCTAATTCATCTAAATTAATCACATACATCAGTTTTTGCTGTGAAAGTATTTAAAAAATTCCAGTTCAATTCAGTGTTGTCAGATGTGACGTAGTAAAGCTGCTGGATGTTGGACACAGTTGTCCCCCTGTCCTCGACCACCCAAACCGGTCTGCAGTCCATTCTGTGAGGGAGTTAGTGAGTCGGTCACAGGTAGACTGACTCAGTCTGAACACCTGGTCTAGTGTAGCGTGACGAGGCTGGCTGCTAGCGTTAGCATCCGAGGCTGTGCTAGCTCAGACCTCCTGGATCGCTGCTAAAGTCTTTGTGTTGAGGTGATATTTCAGACTGAAGTTCTCCGATGGTACGAAAACACCTTCCTGCGGAACCTGCAGAGAACACTGCTCCTATCAACACTCAACACTGTGGCCTTCAATGATGCACCGTTTCAAAGGGTATCACTGAACATGATTACTCAGCATTAATTTTTTAATGTGTTATTTTCTCTGTGATTAATTAATCTAAATGAACGTGTTATTTTGACCGCTCTAATAAAAACAATAAAAGAAGCACTACAAAAGTCGAGAATCGTTATTATGAAATACACAAAAATATAAAAAAAAAAATATGAAAAGTACAAGAAATGTTTAAAATATATTAGTTTTAAAATGAGCTGTGGAGTGTTTTAAATAAAGAGGATAGAATATTAAAACTGTGCATTAAAGGTCCAGATGTCAGATTTAGGAGGATTTAGTGGCATCTAGTGGTGATGACTGTAGAGTGCAACCAGCTGAAAGTTCTCCCGGTTAGAATTCCTTCAGTGTTCATTGTTCAGGAGGTTTTTAGCGGGAGCTGAATTACCAACAGAGGTCTCCTCCTCTCCAAAACAAACAGACCAGCTGATTTAAACCAATAAAAACACTGATTAAAGCAGTTTGACATTACAAATCTGTGTTTCTTCAATGGTGTTCGGCCTGTCTGAGAGGGGCTGCTTGCCCAGCACCTGCTCATGTGTGCTCATCTTTTTTCTCTGATAACTTAAGATCCAGATGTTCAGAATTTTTTTTGGCATACATGCATTTCCTTATTTGTACGTAGCAAACATTTAGTGTGGAATCTCTGCAGAGTTTTATTAATGAGGCCCCTGACTGGAAGATACTGCAGTTCCCCTTTAATGTAACGTGTAGTGTGTACAGATGAGAGTCTTGTCAGTCGGGCTCCAGGTTTTGTTCCTGAGGTTTTGGTGTTGAACAGAAACAAATCAGGATTCTTTAACTGATGTTTTGAATAACTTGCTCCTAAGGTAGCTGCAGCAGTGAAACACAAAATGAAATTCACCCTAAAACACATCAAGGAATACTTTCATGCTTTCATCAGCCTTCAATGATTCACAGACAGAAACTCATCTTCTCTGTGAATAATATTTGATGTATGTTCTGTGTTGTATGTTTCTTTGATTTGATTATATTTCTACGCTCTGTCTTATTCCACGTATCCTCTTTATGAATATTTAATCATTGTAATTATCTGTATCAAAGGTGCAGTGTGTAACTGGAGAAACAGAGTTTACTGTTGAGTCTCATTCCCAGGTCATCAGACACTTTGGGCTGGTGGTTCAGTCTGACTACAAACCAGAGGTCGTCGGTATTTGACCTGGGAGACAGGAGAAGTTTCAGCTGGTTGCAAAGTGCAGTCCTCACCACAGGACACCACTAAATCCCCCCTCAGTCTCACACACTGGACCTTTAACACACATTGTTTAAGAGCATCATCTCTGCATACACCATCCTCTTTGTTTCAGACACTGTACAACTCTTTGCATTTTAAAAACATATATCTTGGGTCAGTGTTTCCTCAAATGTACACACCATTTCGTTGGCGAGTTATTATTTTTTTTTTAAATAATCCTGACTTAAGCCTAGAAAGTGGCGTACGCACATTGCAGGCCTTGTCTTGTGTGTACGAAGTGGTTGTAAACGAGGCCCCGGGTGTGTACATGTTCATTTGAGTGACATCTAAAAGATGAAGGCCCCCTTACACTTTGGGCCCCTGGGCTCAGTGGGGCTGATCAGTGATCCACTCAAACTGTTTTTTGACCTGTTTAAAGTTTCTATAAAGAGTCACCATCAGTAGGATCCATCGTGCGCGGAACAGGAACCTCTGCACCACATTTTATTATCATCCCTCCAGATAGTTGTTGAGATACTTTTCACTGTGGACCAAAGTGTTGGACGGACCGAGTGACATCACCAGAGAGTGTCGGCTAAAGTCTAATTGTGTGCTGAGTTAAGAGAAGGTCCTCGGGGAGCTGCGGTCCCTCTCCTGCTAATTATCTTTACTAAACGTGGTTTTCTTCATGCACTCACATGTGCCGTGCGTCACTTTGATCCAAAGTTTACAGACACTAGTCATACATTGGTTACTGTTACGTAAGTGCAGGGACTTCATTAAGGCGTTCATAATGATCTTTATTGCTCTCGTACTCCGAGTAAAGAATCCTTCTGGGTTTTATTCTGTTAGAGAAACAATCTGCACGGCCAGCTAATGGTTATTAAAAGCAGAGACAGGCAGAAACTATTAATGAAGACGATACATTTTGTGCAACAGGTGGCAGTAAAATGCAAATGAGCGGCGAACAGTGAAATAATAAATATGGTTTATGTATATTTATCTTATCTAAACATTAACACGAAGACGCAGCACATTACATTTTTGAAACTGTAATGATGTGTTCATGTTTAATCAAGGGGACGATGAGCACACACTGCGTCCTGTAATGTGTCATAATGATGCAACACAAACACTCATTAAACATTTAAACGTTTGGCGTCATGAGGTCACGTTAAACAGCAGCTCTGAATATTTCCAACTTCTACACTTTGTTTGAGATGTCACATGATCGTCGCTCGGCCTCCGTTCATCCTGCTCAGAGAGTTCACACTGTTTTATAAGAAACTTTCAACTCAATAAACTCACAACTTTCAGTTCACACTAAACTCTCCACTGATATAGAGCACGCAGTAGTAGCACTACATCCTCTTACTTTAATTGGCAATAATCAAAAAACCCCAAAGCACATTAATATATCATCAGGCTCGTCAGACGCTGCACTGTCTGTGTCTCAATATTTTATCAGTGTAACTAGATTTAAAGATCCAGATATAAAAAAAATAGAAGTGTTACATCCTAAAGCAACAGGAGGCGCATTTCCCTAAAATGATTAACTGGAAACAAACTTCATGATGAGAAACATTGAACAGTCTCTTTTTTTTTTCTCCGGCTCGTCCTGTTTTCTGCAGAAACACTTAGCACATTAGAAACAATCAGCAGTTATGATTCAGTTCACACTGTTTCATATAAGTAGGTATGTTTCAAAGCAATTTTAATCAGAATGCAATTTGAAAAAAACTCAGTTCTCATCAAATTAAAGATGATAATAATGATAAAAATGAGTTTTTGTACTGAATGTTTCACTGAAGGAGAAGGTCAGTAAAGCTTCCTGTTGACAGAGTCTGAAAAGAGACATTTAGTTTCCTCAAATCATATTTTCTTTAAATTTTGTTCACTTTGTTTTCAATATGTTTTTTATTTCCTCTGTTTCCCACAGAATTAGACACTGTGTGTCCCCCTGCGGCATTACAGTGTCCGTCCACTAACAACTTTTTTTTTTGTCACTGACAGGCTCAGATTGTTATTCTAAGTGTCTGACAGCATCATGAAAGGATCCCTACAGAGATAGAGCTTTGTGTTAAGGAGTAAGAGTATTTAAATGGAGTCTGGTGGGTTTGGTGACGGTGATTTCAGGGCTGTTTCAGGTTAAACAAAAAGGATCTTACTCTTTAACACAAAGCTATATCTCTGTAGGGATCCTTTCATAATGCTGTCAGGCACTTAGAATAACAATCTGAGCCTGTCAGTGACAAGAACACTTTTAGTGGACAGACACTGAAGGTGCTCAAGTGCCTGCAGGGATTACAATACAGCCTCCTACATTTAAAACTTTACTTAAAGGGTAATTTGCAACCTGGACCCTATTTTCCCACATCTTTGTGTCTCAGTGACTGATGGGAACAACAGCTTTGAAAGTGGTTCACTACTGAGAAAGAGCGCTGCAGCCGACAGCGGTTAAATAGGCTGCAGTGTAACCACTTGGGGCATGTTCGATTTCAGGGCTGTTTCTGGTTAAACAGAAAGGATCTGACTCTTTAACACAAAGCTCTATCTCTGTAGGGATCCTTTCATAATGCTGTCAGACACTTAGAATAACAATCTGAGCCTGTCAGTGACAAAACAAACACTGTTAGTGGACAGACACTGACGGTGTGAACAGAGTGGTTACATTACAGCCTGTTTTTGTGGCTGTCGGCTGCAGCGCTCTCTGTCAATACTGGACCAGTTTTAGAAATTGTTCCCATCAGTCACTGAGACACAGAAACATGGGGAAATGGAGTCCAGGCTATAAGTTACCTTTTCAGTAAAGTTTTGAATGCAGGAGGTAAAATATCTGGGTATGTCTTCCATCACTGGTGTTGCCATGAAGACTAACAGTACGTGTGTGTGTGTGTGTGTGTGTGTGTGTGTGTGTGGTCACAGTGTGTCCCAGTGGAAAGTTCGGTAAAGCCTGCGCTGAGGCGTGTTTGTGCACCAACAACGGCACCTGTAACCCAATCGACGGCTCCTGTCAGTGCTACCCTGGATGGATCGGCGAGGACTGCTCCAAACGTGAGGCGCCACAAATCATCTCCTCTTCCTCTTTCTCACTCCCCCCCCCTCACCTAAGCACTTATCGACCCGCTGGAGTTGACCGTGAACCAGTCAGACACCGCTGAGGAAAACAAACAAAACAAAAAAACCCAGAGGCAATTACTCCATCGGCTCTGACATTAATTATCCATCTTACACTGAACAGAGCTACCACCCAGTTCACCCAGCTGAAGGCACAGAGCGTCCTCAGCTCCTGCTCAGCCTGCTGACGGCTGCTGTGTTAGAGAGGAGACTGTGTGTATTGTTCATCTTCCTCTGTCTTTATCTAACTGTGTGTGTGTGTGTGTGTGTGTGTGTGTGCGCTTTAATGCGTGTTATTGGCAGCGTGTCCTCAGGGCTCGTGGGGTCCAGACTGCATCCACACATGTAACTGTCACAACGGAGCTCAGTGCAGCGCCACAGACGGAGAGTGTAACTGCAGCCCTGGATGGACGGGACTCTACTGTACTCAGCGTATGCCTCCCACACACACACACACACACACACACACACACACACACAGAGCAGTGATACACTCTCTGGCTGCTGTGAGAGCACGTTACTGATGCGCTCTCACTTCTTGCAGCGGAGTCACAGAGGTCGGTCTCCTACTTTGAATATCTCACACCTGCACCTCCATCTGGTGGCAGATCAAACAAACTACACGCCTGGAGACATTTGGCTTTTTATTATGAAGCTAAATAAACAGACACCACTTTAAATAAAGAGGTGAAACGTGGGGTGACTTCCATCGCCTTGTTCAGGTGTCGCTCTGACTACAGCAGCTGCTTATGGCTGAGGGAAGTTTTTAGTCGGATAGTTTTGTGCCTCCTTGTCTCCTCTCTCCTCCGTCCTCCTGACTGTGACCCAGAAATGGATCTCAGTGTGTTCCCTCGAAGGATCACTCACTTCCTAAAAGTCCTAAAATCTTGAGGAGGAAGGAGAGAGGAGGAGCTGTGAGCGAGGATGCACAGGTGTATCCTTGGCGAAAGTCTAGGTGTGACACACAGTTGATGATGCAGCTGTGTGTCACATGTCCAAAGCACAGGTGTCTCATTTTGATAATCAACCTGTTGCCTCGGCTCCACTCTCCTCGTGTCTCCTTCTTGTCTCCTCCACCCAAATCTCTGGGACAGATTAAGACGCGAGACAGGAATCAAGGATGTACAAACTATACACTGAGAAAAGCCTCTTCATTCCTTTATCTCCTTAGATTCCTTCCTCCCTTCCCTCCTTCCCTTTCTACCTCATCCTTTCCTCAGTGGAGTTCGATGCCACCTCAGCTGGCCAACATCATTAGACGCTTATACAATGTCAGGACAGCGTCCAATGCCGCCGATAGATGGCGCTGATGTTTTGTTGGTTTTAAGTTGTTGTTAAATAACCAAAATCCAACGTCTTCCAAACATCTCATGCTGACGTCATCTCAAGGTAGAACAACATTTAGTCGTGAGGTATGGAAAATAAAACCCAACGTCCACACAACATGAAACTCGAACGTCGTTAGACATTTAAAATATCGTCAGCCTGATTTTCATTCCAAGCAAAATTTAAAGTCTGGGTGAAGCAAAGTCAGTGATTTGTTTTTAAACACATCAGACGTGTTTGAAAATAATGACTGAGAACTGTGTTGTTGCATCGTGGAGTCAGACTGTTAAACTGTCCCTGTGTCCAGGATTGTTGGTCGGGCCTAAAAACCTGCTGGATGACACACTGGAGTCCTGTACCTGTAGTCCCCTTACAACCCATTTTGAAGCCTAATAATAATAATGATAACTTTATTTGTGCAGCACAGTTGATGCTTTTAGCTTTTATTTAATAGAATGAGAAAATACAGATATGAGACAATAAAATGAAGTTAAAAAGATATAAATACACACACACATAAAAAAATATGGCAGATATCAGATAAACAGTCAGGAGTCAGTCCATGAAGAGAAATCTTAAAATGAATTCTAAACTAAACAGGAAGCCGATAAAGAGCCTTTAAAACTGGAGTAATGTGCTCTTGGCATTTAGTCTTGGTGAGCAGACGTGCTGCTGCATTTTGGATCATCTGCACTTCACATACTTGGTGATTGTTTTTAATCTTTTATATTCTGCTGATTATTAATAACACATTATTCTGTGGTGTTACGAACTCATCACACATATAAACACTTCCTTGCTTCACCCAGACTTTAATGTGTTTACAGGAAACAGCTGTGGTTTAATTTAAAAGTTTTCATCCGCCACGTCAGCTCAGATTATTTCTGGGTTTGTTTCCATCCTGAGTGAAACTCATCTGCTGCACTGATGCTGCTGCGTCACCACAAACAGCTCCAGAGTGTCTCCAGGGTTAAATCTGCCTGAGATGCAAACTGGGTCCGGTTCAATCTGCAGAGATGATCCGCGCTGGTTCCACTATGACAGAACAGATTAGCCAGTCACAGGAAAGCTGCTTCAGATGAGTGGATCATCTCTCAGGTCTGAGGAACAGCGGATGTTGGAAAGTGTCCTCGTCCTCTGTTAGACATTGAAAACATGCTGTTGTGTGTCTGTCTTCAGGCTGTCCCACAGGTTTCTACGGCGGCCAGTGTGCTGAAGTGTGTCGCTGTCAGAACGGCGCCGACTGCGACCACATCAGCGGACAGTGTTCCTGCAGGACGGGGTTCATCGGACAGAGCTGTGAGCTCAGTGAGTGTGTGTGCACGTCCATGTCCATACACACACAGTGTCAGGTGTTCAGGATGAAAGAAACCAGCGAAGGCTGAGCAGTAATCTCATCGATGTCTTAGACAGCCTCGTGTCATCACAAAATAATGATATTCTCATATTATTATTATTCTGCTCACGTAGTTCAACAATAATGAAAATGATTATACTTCATATTAAAATGTATTTTAATGGAATAAACATTAGTTGTATTGTAAAAATGATGAAGAAAATGAAAAAGAAGCACAACAGCTGCTGCATAGTAAAGATGGAGGGATGTGTTATGACAACATAGATTATGAGATTACACGTACACGGACACGTTTTATTTTCACGTTGATATTTATATTTGATTTTTATTTTACACATGTAAAAAAAAGACTTGAAGATACCAACAGAAAGTCACATTCACAAATAATGTAAAGCAGTTGTCAGTGTAAAGTTACTTTGATTTACACATCTGAAAAGGAGTGAGAGGAAGTATAACCTTATTAAGTCCCGCCCCTTCTCCATTAAGTCACTGCGTGAAATGAAACAGCCTCAGACAGCACGTTTCATAAGAATCATATCAGTGTTTCTAAAGTGACGTAGTATCTGAGCTGACTGTGGAGGGGACGGTGGATGATTTGACACCTCAGAGAGACGTCAACAAACAACTGAACTGGTTGTGATTTAAGGAGTCATTACTGTGTTTTTGACATCTTTTTAACCCCTTAAAGGAAATGGCCACTTTAGAATGAAAATACAGACAGTACTTACTGACCCTCATGCCGACAAGAAGTCCAGTGTAGTTTTTTAATCCACAAAACTCATTCGGGGTATCGGAGGATAACAGCTAGCCGGAATAACAGCTACACTTGAAGTGCATGGAACCCACATTTTGAAAATGTAATAAAACTCTGCTAATGCATTTCAAAAACATCAAAACGACTCGTCCATCGTAATCCAAGTGCCCTGAAGCCGCAGCATGCAAAACTGACTTGAAAAGACGTAATTTACTCCACTTTTATAGCATCATTTCTCACCGTGGTCAGTTAGTCTGCATATCGCGTGACTCGAAAACAAGAGCGTTTTTGAGCGTTCTCCAGTCTCGCACAAGTTCCCATGTTAACACAGCGCTCCTGCAGGCTAACTGACCACGTTGAGAAATGATGCTATAAAAGTGGAGTAAATTACGTCTTTTCAAATCAGTTTTGCATGCCGCTGCTTCAGGGCACTTGGATTATGACGGACGAGCCGCTCTGACATTTTTGAAATGCATTAGTGGAGTTTTATTACATTTTCAAAATCCGGCTAGCTGTTATCCTCTGATACCCCGAACAAGTTTTGTGGATTAAAAAACTACACTGGACTTCTTGTCGGCATGAGGGTCAGTAAGTACTGTCTGTATTTTCATTCTAAAGAGGTTATTTCCTTTAATGAGGTTGTCTTTAAGCGATCTATCGCTGTGTTTCCTGCTGAGATAGTGGCACCAAACATGATCTTTTCCAAACGATAACACACAAACATTACCCCTAAACCCAACGTGTGGCAGCAACCAGTCCATATTAATCTGGCTCTAGTAGATCAACTGAAGAGGAAAATAATTATCATTATTATAGTGATAAAAAATTAATTGATATTAAATAAAAATAATTTTCACCTATTTTTCAGCGATCTGATTGGTCGTCTTCTTCTGACCCTTTGCCTGGCTTTAGGGTGATATAGCTGACTGTTGGTTTGGCTTCATCTGGACAGTGGTTTGGTTTTTGCATTCTCATTTGGACGGAGGATTTTTTAAAAACAAGGGGAAAAACCCTGTTTTCAGAAATACCTGTGTCCATGTGGACTCGGCCGTAGTTTCATGTTTTTAAGATGATGAGCTGAAGAGAGTCGAGCCACAAAGAGACGATGGAACTTAAACTGATAATCAGAGTTCTGAGTTTAAACATTACACCTGTAATAATCTCTGCTCATCCACCTGTGAGATCTAAAGACATATCAGACCTCTGCTCCTCCTCCTCTGTGTCCAGAGTGTCCTGCAGGGACGTTTGGTTACGGCTGCCAGCAGCTGTGTGAGTGCATGAACAACGCCACCTGTGACTACGTGACGGGAACCTGTTACTGCAGCATCGGCTTCAAAGGCATCCGCTGTGACCAGGGTGAGAGCTAATGTTGTGTGTGTGAGGCTGATCTGAGGGTCTGATGGAGATGAAACATGAAAACAAGATGACAGGAGGATATACATTATGTTAGAGATTAAAAAGAAGACAAAGTGTTTCTGTAGGATGAAGGAACAAAGAGTTGTCTGATGGACACACACGTCTGCTGGGTTACAGATAAAAAGACAGATCTGGTGTAAAATACAAGAATAAAATATGTAGAGTCAACAACACAGCTGTGAGTGAACTGTGAGGACTTTAATGAGCCGTAGTGTGTGTTGGTGACAGGAGATCAGGTGTTGTGTGTTTACCTGTTGTGTGTCCTGTTCTGCTCAGCGGCTCTGATGATGGAGGAGCTGAACCCGTACACTAAGATCAGCCCGGCGCTGGCATCAGAGCGCCAGTCGGCTGGCGCCGTCCTGGGCATCATCTTCCTGCTGCTGCTCATCATGGCCATGCTCGGCCTGGTCGTCTGGTTCCGCTACCGGCAGAGAGAGAAAGGCCACCACGTGCCGAGCGTCACCTACACGCCTGCCCTGCACATCAACTCCACAGACTACTCCCTCTCAGGTGAGACGACCGAGGCTCTGGTGGTTAGCTTCTTCCTCCAGGTGGTTTTCTTTCTTCCAGGCTGAGTGGACGGACAGACGACCTGAGCTACGACTGGAACTGATTCTGTTTTCATTTAATCATTTAATCCATGAATTGTCAAAAAATGTGAGAAAGTTTTTCATCAGTTTGTTTTGTCAGGCCAAAGAAATTCAATTTACAATGATAGAAAACAGAAATCTCACATTTTAGAGGCTGGAAGCTTTATAAACAATGAGTTATTGAAAATTGTTGTAAATTAATTTGCACTGTGTGAGATAATGACTGTTAGTGTCTGTGCAGCTCTAACCTTCTATGATCACACGCAAGAGAGAGCAGGTAAAGGAAATGAATGTTCTCAGTGTTTCACAGTGTTCTCTTGGTTCCAGTTGGACTTCCTTTGTTTTAATCTGCAGCATCAGTGTGTAGATTCCTGGTGTCAGGTTGTGTGTGTGTGTATTGATGATGTGTAGATGATGTCAGTGTGTGTGCTGATGCTGTGTGCTGACAGCAGGGCTGCAGTGTACAGGCCTGCTCTCCTCTCCAGACTCCTCTCCCAGTAACAGCTCTGTAGGACGCTGCTTCTCCAACACCAGCTACCGCACTCTGGGGCCGTGCACCTACGCTGCCCACTACGCCAAGCCGGACAAGAGGAGCTCCACCAAGGTACGTTCAAGGACTCTTTCTCTGGTAGATGTGATTTCGGCTGCTTTATTTTTGGCAGTTTTTTTAATCCACTTTATTTATTATTTTTCACATTTAAGAAATCATGTATACAAGAGTACAGGAAAACATTTTTTCTCCCCCTGGAAACAAACAGTCAGATAAACTGCAGTATGAAAGAATAATGTGCCCCATAAAAAAAAGCATTAATAGACACATATGTGTGTGCCTGCAGATGTTGAGAACCAACAGTACAACAACCTCACAGCTGTTCAAGCAGATATATAATGAAGAGTTGTCAACAGGTTACCCACAAGGCCACTGCCCTTAAAAAGGGTGAGCTGGTAACAGGTTGTCATTTTAACAAAATGAGCAGCTTTCGTCTCTGTCAGTCAGAAATCAAAGATCCATTCTTTATAAAACAGGAACCAAAAGGGGCGGGGCCTAACAAATCTTAAATATTAATACGTGCCTTCTCCTCCTAACTTTAATTAGTTATTTACAATCAAAAAGGCGTCTTATGGCATCATGAATACAGATTACAGTATTAAAATAACTCAGTGAAACAGCAGACAGAAATAAATGATAATGAACGACAAACAAAACTAAAAAACAAAATGAAAGTGATTCATTCAGGATTTAAAGTTCACAGATATTCATAATGACAGAGGGCCTTTCCTATTTTACAGCATTTTACATATTTTTTGTTTAGAATTACTTCATTTAGAAAGGCAGGAAATATTAGGCTAGTTATTTATTTTATTTTTTTTAAATTGTGAATAAAATATAATAAAATATTGATCCCAAATTCTGTTTTCAGAAAACTTTATATTTTCATAATATAAAAATCATAATATTTTGATCCTTGTAATTCAGCCAATATTGTAAAAAAGTCCCAAAAGGTCCTGATTAAATTACAGGAGAAGAACAGAAGGTTTCAGTGTCTGACGTCACTCTGGTTTACACGTTTGGCTGAAATCTTTATGTCCTGCCACAAAGAATTAAAATGTCACGTCATCAGGACACAAAGCATCGTCTCATTTCTGTGAGTGTTTACAGTGTGTGTTTTAATGTGTTTCATCCTGTGTGTGTTTCCCAGATGAAGACGAAGAAGCGCCACAGGAACAGTGCTCCAGAGTGGGGGGCGTACTGTAACCTCAGCGATCTCGGTCAGTCTGAGTTTCTTTTGCTTTGGCTCTGCGTCGTCACACAGTCACACCTACAGACGCTGTTTAGGAAGAATGGGATGATAAACTGGAATATTTCTGCAGAATAATGTGAGGACTAAAGGACACCCTGTACTCTGACGCTGCAGTTTTAAAATTCCTGGCACTAGATGACTAAACACAGATTCAGCTCTGCAGCCTTCAGCAGAACCCATCACACACAGTCACGACAATTAGGGACTAACACTGAGTAAATTAACACTGAGTTCTACCGACTTAAACTTTACTTAAACAAAACAAAACAAACAGACTTAAATGTGACTTTAAACTAACAGATGTTGTTATAAAATCATGAGAGTTTTACGTCAGTTGGTGAACTCTGTGATCTCCATCTTTTGGTGTGAGGTCATTAAACTCAGTTTGAGCTGTCTTCAGTCTTTTTCTAGTCTCAACGTTACAATAAAATCAGACATGTTTAATATTCTTGTAAGTTTCTAGTCACGGATCAGGCAAATACTAAAGTTCAATGACGTGAACATCAACAACCAATGTCTGCGCTCTCCTCAACACCAAACAGGAAGCACGAAGCCAGTTCAACTTACTCAGGATATCTTGTCATTATCTGGCCTGACTAACAGTCACATCGGCCGTCTGATAACCGGTTATCAACTAGTTCAGTCAGCTCTAGGTTTTCCTAAAGGCCCTGACACACCAAGCTGACAGTCGGCCGTCGACCAAAGTCGGGCCGTCGGTGAGCGTCTGTCGGCCTAGTTTTTGCGGTGTGTCCTGCACCGTCAGCGCTTTGGCATCGGCGGCTTTTTGGCCGATTGAGCATGTTGAATCAGCTTGTCGGTGAGAGAGATCACTCTGATTGGCTGTTCAGGTTTTATTTCCTCGCCCCTGTAGCGAGTGAATCTGCCTGTAGTGAAACCGGGGCTAACCGGTGCTTCCTCCTCAGGCTCCACTTCACCCAGCTGCCCCACAGACCCGCTGCTTCTTCACACTTTAACCTGAATAACAAACCGGGGCTAGCTGGGAGCGGCTAGCGGAGCGTTAGCCGCAGCATGACCGGAGGGAAACACAGCCAGTTAGCCTCCGCTAGTCTCTGAGCTAGCCCCGGCTCTCCGTTTGGATCCAACCGGAGCACCGAGCCCTGGTTTGTTATTCAGGTTAAAGTGGGAAGAAGCAGCGGGTTTATCGGGCAGCTGAGTGAAGTGGAGCCTG